CAATTTATAATTGCTATATCACTAAACAATATATTACAAACATCTTTTCTTTTCAGTTAAACTACATCTCCTTCCTCAGTTTCAATGCCCACATAATCCTATATTGTTGGATGTACCATCACTTGTTTAATCATTGCCTATCAGTCGGCAATTAGATTGTTTCTAATCTAAAAAATCTAAAAAAAAATTAGATTTTTTTCTGTAGTGACCAATTCCAGAATGAAATCTTCACACATAGTGATATTTCTTTAGGAGAGAGTCATAGAAGGGCAGAGGGGGTCAAGGGGTGTGAGCACTTTAAAAGGCCATTCCAGGTAAAGATAGCAGCCTCCTGGTTGAAATCAATCATTAATAAATACTGAGAGTCATGTTGAGTGCTATACCGATTATTATATTTAGTCCTCATCATGACCTACCTCCAACCTCACGAAGTTTGACCATACACATCCTATGTGTCTGCTTGTAAGGAAAGAGCTGAAGCAGGCCAAGCAGCTAGTCCTGCTCTGGCCACCACATACAGTGGCCACTGCTGGGGCTCATTCTGGGGCTAAGGACATCCCGTGAAAGACTGCAAACTGGGAAGGACCTGGGCTTGAAAAGCAAAATGGCACTCAAGAATGCTGTAGCTAGTCTTCCCAGGCTCCAAGATGCTTTCTTCATCTCTAGGAGCTACAAGGAAAGAAGGAAGGAAGGACGGAAGGAAGGAAGGAAGGAAGGAAGGAAGGAAGGAAGGAAGGAAGAACAAGGGACAAATGAGGGCTAGGAGGGTGAAGGCAGGAAAAGCCACCCATACCCATAAAGCGTGGTCTGCAAGTACCTCCCTCCATCCACTGTCTTCACTTGGCCACACATCAAACTCCAGCGATCAGGACTCCTTTGGGTTTCTTGTCTGGGTCCCCTGCCAGGACTGGGCACACAGAGCCTCGTTTGGAGCAGGCATGGGGACTGCGTAAATAAATGACTGCAAAAACCTGTTCCACTGTGTCTTTCCAACATGCACTCCCCACTAAGTCACAGATATGCTGACACTTGTGCACCAGGACATTTAACAGAGCATTATTTATAGTAACAAAAGGACCAAAAACTGGTTAAATAACTGGTTTTGTGCAATTAAACACTGTGAAAGATTAAAAGCCCGAGGCCAATCTAAAATATATTGTCATATCTCATTACAACCCAAGTCACTCCTAACCATGAAATGCACCACGATTTTATATAGCATTAAGGGGAGGTGGGGGGCGGAAGCCAATTAAATAAGGCTCCCTTGATTGTACAAGAAGCCCAGTTTCAGAGATAAGCGGTGAGGAAACTATGGGAAATGTAATGTACAATGAATGCATGCTACTGTGTGTGCGCGTGCGCTTGAAAAGAGGAGCTATATAATCACACATGCTTTATAGACATACAGAATTCCTGGATACACCAACCTGATAACGAGTGCCCTCTTGAGGCTGGGTTGGGGCATTGGGACACAGGGTGGAAGGGAAACCCTCTTTTCATCGTCACATCCACTTGTAAGCTCTGAACTTTTAAACTATATATTCGTTTTTCAAAATAATACTTTGAAAACTACTAAATGCAAAATAAAATAATGCATCCTTCTGAGAGGATTAAGGGGCATAGTATTGGAGCCAGCTTTGGATCTGGAGACCGTGCGTACAATACCACAGCAACCTTGGGCAAGTTCCCGCCCCGAGACTGCTTCTCAGTTTCCCCAGGAGCCCTTAGGTGTCGGAAAGCGGGTCTTGGGACATCGTTCCAGTTCGGACCGGGGCGGCCGGGAGACCACCCAGCCGCGCTCCCCCCTGGCCGGACAGCCGTCTGCGGGCGCCCCGCGGTGCCAGCCCGGCCAATCAGCGGCCGCGGGGCGGGCGGGGTGGTGGCGCCGTGCGCTCAGAGCGGAGCGCAAAGCAGAAGCGCCAACTGCCATCCCGAAGCAGACCATGCCACGCTTACTCGTGCTCTTCCCGCTACTGCTTCTGTTGCTGCCACCGCTAGTCCCGGGCCTCGGGCTCTTCGGCGCGGGCGGCCGGCGCCCCGAGTGCGGTCCGTGCCGGCCGGAGCTCTGTCCAGCGCCGGTGCGCTGCCCGGAACCGGGAATTCCGGCACGCGACGAGTGCGGCTGCTGCGCGCGCTGCTTGGGCGCGGAGGGCGCGAGTTGCGGGGGGCAGGCTGGCGCGCGCTGTGGCCCGGGGCTGGTGTGCGCGAGCCGCTCCACAGGGGCGGCGCCCGAGGGCACCGGGCTCTGCGTGTGCGCGCAGCGCGGCGCAGTCTGTGGTTCCGACGGCCGCTCCTACCCCAGCATCTGCGCGCTGCGCCTGCGTGCCCGGCACGCGCCCCGCGCGCACCCGGGCCACCTGCACAAGGCGCGCGACGGCCCCTGCGAATTTGGTGAGTCTGGCTTTCCCACCCAAAGTGGAGAAGGTTGGGCGGGTGGAAAAAGAGGGACCCCGACTCTCTATGGTGTGGGGCGCAGGATCTTCCCTGCACCGCGATGGACAGCGCTGACTAGGCCTCAGTTTCCCTTTGGGTGCAGTTTTTCTTATCTGGCAGGGTGCTCAAGAAAACTGAGTGGGGCAGGAACCCACCTCCTGCATCCTCCCTTACCAAACTCATAGAGACACCAACCAACCGAGCTGGTCGGAATTTGGGGAGCCTCCGTCCCTATTGATACTTAAGTGTTTGCTGATGCAGTTATTTGCAGGCCTGACGTGTTTGCCTCCATGAGACTGGGAGTTTGGGGGAGGGGAGTCCCAGTGGGTTCAAGTCCCCGGGGGTCCAGTACCGGGCCTGGCTGGGGGATGGGTTGTTTGAATGAAGAGGGAAGGACCGTGAAGATGCCGAAGGAGGAAGAGCTCTATATAAGGCGGGACCCATTAGTCACTTGGCGACACCAGGGCTGGGGCCCTGCAGCGGGTTCTGAGGGAACCTACTTAGGACAGGTAAGACCCTTGGAGACCTAGTCTCTGATAAGAGTATGGTGCCATTAGGGGCAGACCAGGTTTTGTGGGGCTAAGGTTTATACAGTTTGGAGGGTCCCACTTTAAAGGAATGGAAAATGAATCATTGCTGGGGACCTAGAAACTTAAGTTTCATTAACATCACAGTAAAGTCATCTATGGGTGTCATTGCTGACCACCCTCTATATGTAATTTTAAAAAATTAAACCAAAAAGTCCAAAACATTAGTATAGCGATGCCCAGCAAAGCACCCTCGCAGCCCATTAGGTCTTGGAGAACCGCCCCTATCTGTGCTGCCTAGAGGGGCAGTAGAGAGTCTAGTAGAGAGTGAGCTGGTGGCTGGGGAGTCCCAAGGAGCCTGTCTTGTGGTTCTGGCCCGTGCCTGGAGGCCAAGTGTAGACCTAAATGCCTAAGTCAGTGTAGTGACAAGGAAGCCGTGGGGGTGGGGGTAGGCCTTAACAGGTATTGGGAAGTGTCTAGTATTATTTTCCCCCAAGTATTCCAGGTAGATGCATGTCCAGGAGACCCAATGGGTTGCTGGAGATGGGGCAAGAAGGCTCCTGTCCCGGAAACATGAAAACAATGTGCGGCCCGTTGAGGGGGCCGAGGCAGCTGGGAGCACAGGAAAGTCACCGTTGGCTGTTCCTGATTGGAGCTCACGTGGAGGAGAACACTGGCTGGTGCTTCCGGGTGCTGTTCCCGTCCCCTCTCTCAGTCGTGTCAGCCCCTGTGGAGCCACTATTGAGGTCCCTTCCACTTTGAACCTTTGTTTCTGCCATGTGACGTTTAAACAGTTCTGTCTCCTTCCTTCTTCTAGTTCCTGTCACTAGATTTTTACAATCTGCTTTCTTCAGCAGTTAATTCACCGGCAGTTCTCTTTGTCTCCAGACAGGTAACACTTTCACTCCACGTGCAGGAGGCATAAATGCTGACCAGGTCCCCAGAGTCTAACCAGTGTGGATGGTCTCAGATGATTTTTCCCTGGAGTGGTGTTCTGTTCCTAAGAGAGAGACGCCGTGAAGATACTCAGACCAAATCTGTTATTATGGAGAGGAGACAGAGACTGGGGGGGAGGGGACGGGCAGGGGACTCAGCCAGGGCGACCAGTAAAGCCTGACCAGCTCCGAGGTCCCTGACACCCTATTCCGTGCTCTTTCAGGACAGGATATGATAGTGTTAAGTCAGGCAGGTGGTGGTTGCCATGGTTACCAGAGTGAGGCCAGATGGCAGATGGAAACCCCATACCCCTAATTCATTGAAAATTACCAAATGACAAGTAAATGTGACAGCCCCTCCACTCTGATCTATGAGATCTGAGGCCCACCTCAGGCACAGGCCCCAGGCGTAAAGATGTTCACGGGACCAAGTGGAGGCCATTCAGATGCTACTTTTAATGATCTCATTAATGACAGGCTTCAAGCCTCCCCAGAATTTACCTCTTCTTCCCCACCAGCCATTGTGTCATTTGTCACAGACCTGGCACTATTTTCCTATCACTTTGTGTCCTGACATGTTTGTGTGGCCCCTGCCTTGTGTCCTGGTGAAGCATGAAGGTGTGGATGGGGGGGGGGGTTTTACCTAGCTAGCGAAGGCAAAGGTAGGAAGGACCTCACTCTGTGCTGCCCTAAAGCCATCCCCTATTCAGAGGACACAGCAGGAGCACTTTTTAACAATGCCCCTGGGGACCCTGGTTGACGGGAAGCAGACTGAGCCAGGGCAGCAGCTGTTCTGCTTCAAAACGGTGATAAAACCCCCCATCTCAGCTCCTCACCAACTCCTTCAATATTCGAGCTCCTGACTTGAACAGAATGAGGCTTCTGTAAATAAATATTAGGCTCTGCTCCGTGTGGGAGGTGTTCTTACACATGCCTCTGTGGGGTATTTGGAAACAGTTTTCAGGCTTAAATGCTTACCTTTCCCCATATGCTCTGAAATGCCCCCAAAAGCCTAATAGTGAGCATAACCCTCTGATCAACACACACTTAATGAAGACCCACTATGTTCCCACATACAAAATTATTTACTGTTGGTAATCACATTCGCATTCCATCTTCTTATTCGATTTTTACAACTACCCTGGCCAGGTCTCATTTCCATTTAATAGAAGGGAAAACTGAGGCAGCAGAAGAGAATTCCCTGGAGCCAGAGGGCTGGTTCCTGGCTGAAGTGGGGCTCCAGCCTGGGTTTTCCTTGTTCTTTTCGGGTGGGGCCCTCTGGCAGCCTGAGTAGGAAGGTGCTGCAAATTGACTATTGAGGGTTTCTCAGTTTGGACCCATCCTGTTTTCCCCCCAAGGCTTGTTGCTGGTTCCTCTGTTTAGCACAGGATGATGGCTCCTGAGAAGAACAGGGTTAGCTTCACTGAAGGGAAGCATATGAGAGGAGCCTAGAAGGATGGGTACAAAATTCCTGGGCTGAGAAGGAGGGATGGGGAGACAGCATGAACCAAAGCATGGAGGTAGGAGGTCCTGTGTCTAGTGTGAACAGTGGGTGTGCTGGGCTGCTACCTAGTGGATGGTTGGTGAAGGAGGTGAGGCTCCAAGTAGGTTAGGGCAAGGTCATTGCAAGCCTTGAGTGCTAGGCTGAGGGCTGAAGCTTCATTCTGTACTAAATTATTGGTTCCGTTTCTCAACTGTAAGGTGGCGTGGCGTTATGGTTGTTATTGTTACTGCTATCATTATTTTAAGAGGCTGTTGTTCCACATCTGCACCCTGACCATCTGCTAACATTGGGAGGGAGTGGGANCTGAAGAAGACTCCCCACCATGCTTAATTGTCCATAAGGCAATGTTGGTTTTCATTTCTTTCATTTAATAAAATAACAATAATAATAGCCAGCATTTATTGAAGGTTTGCCATGCATCGGACATTGGACTAATGTCTTTATAGTTATTATCTCACTTAATCCTGTCACAATGTAGGCAGCAGGGACTATTATTCCCACTTCATAGATGACAAACACTGACGCTTAGAGAGGCAAAGTAAATGCCCAAAGTCACTCAGCTAGAGAGCAGCAGAGCTGACATTTGTTATATTCTCTAAACTTGTTATATTCTCTAAACAGGAAACATATTCACACACTGAAATTACATTAAGACATTGAAAAAGATTCCACGTCTGGGGTCCTTGGGGAGGACAATGACTCCCTATTCTTCACTGGTCAGACAAATCTGAACAACATGCTCAGGCCTGAGCCCTGCCCTGTGAGAAGGGCCCTGACAGGCCGTCCTGTGTCCATTGAAATTACCGTGATGGAGGGGAGGCCCTGGGAGAGAGGCTTGGAGGCCATGGGGGGCACCGTGCTGACTTCACAAGAATGTCATGGGGGAGTGGAGTGGTGAGCTGGGTGAAAAAGGTGAAGGCATTAAGAAATACAAATTGGTAGTTTCAAAATAGTCATGGGGATGTAAAGTAAAGCACAGGGAATACAGTCAATAATACGGCAATAACTATGTATGGTGCCAGGTGGGTACTAAACGGGGGGATCACTTCTTAAATTATATAAATGTCTAACCACTATGCTGTANAGGACCTCACTCTGTGCTGCCCTAAAGCCATCCCCTATTCAGAGGACACAGCAGGAGCACTTTTTAACAATGCCCCTGGGGACCCTGGTTGACGGGAAGCAGACTGAGCCAGGGCAGCAGCTGTTCTGCTTCAAAACGGTGATAAAACCCCCCATCTCAGCTCCTCACCAACTCCTTCAATATTCGAGCTCCTGACTTGAACAGAATGAGGCTTCTGTAAATAAATATTAGGCTCTGCTCCGTGTGGGAGGTGTTCTTACACATGCCTCTGTGGGGTATTTGGAAACTGTTTTCAGGCTTAAATGCTTACCTTTCCCCATATGCTCTGAAATGCCCCCAAAAGCCTAATAGTGAGCATAACCCTCTGATCAACACACACTTAATGAAGACCCACTATGTTCCCACATACAAAATTATTTACTGTTGGTAATCACATTCGCATTCCATCTTCTTATTCGATTTTTACAACTACCCTGGCCAGGTCTCATTTCCATTTAATAGAAGGGAAAACTGAGGCAGCAGAAGAGAATTCCCTGGAGCCAGAGGGCTGGTTCCTGGCTGAAGTGGGGCTCCAGCCTGGGTTTTCCTTGTTCTTTTCGGGTGGGGCCCTCTGGCAGCCTGAGTAGGAAGGTGCTGCAAATTGACTATTGAGGGTTTCTCAGTTTGGACCCATCCTGTTTTCCCCCCAAGGCTTGTTGCTGGTTCCTCTGTTTAGCACAGGATGATGGCTCCTGAGAAGAACAGGGTTAGCTTCACTGAAGGGAAGCATATGAGAGGAGCCTAGAAGGATGGGTACAAAATTCCTGGGCTGAGAAGGAGGGATGGGGAGACAGCATGAACCAAAGCATGGAGGTAGGAGGTCCTGTGTCTAGTGTGAACAGTGGGTGTGCTGGGCTGCTACCTAGTGG